GTGTGCGCACAATACAACAACAGCAGGACAAGAAGAAATGGAAGGAATTGACAACACCTTTCGTGCAGCGTCGTGCGAGTCTCAGTAGCTACCTTGACAAGGTGAATACAATATTCATTGTCTGAAATACGCAGCAGTTTCCATGGAAATATGCAAGTCGCAATGCATTTTTTATCACTCACAGTATCTAGAAATATATCTGTCACTGTGTATTTTCATGAAAGCCAGTCAACAGTATAAGACATGAGATATATGATTCATCACCTTGCTATATTCGGCGTATCGTCGTTATCCAGAACCAACTCCAACTGATTTTTGTCTTGGATCTTGATGGGAAGAAGTATTCTCTTTGTGTGAACATCATCATGATGTACATCACCAGCGTTGTGTGGGGTGAGATTCTGTTCTCATCCTTTTCTTTGGTGTTTTCCAGCTGCTCTGATATCGCCTGCAAACAGATGAAACAACTCGATAAATCGTGCTGTCCTGACAGATGGATTCAGCATCTTTATGTTGTTTGTATGGACAAAAGAGGTAAGATACCCACGATGGAAACTATCTTTCCCCCGTCACGCGTTTACTTAAACCTACTTTACATATTATGTCACATGTGAGATGCCCGGTTAATCACATACATTTTGTGTCGTTGTTTACCAGATAATTGAATAAATTAACTACAAGGGTCAAACCGTGAGACGTAAATTCTCCTACTTCAGATAAGAAGCAGGTACGTTTCAACACACCCAATTCCACATGGACAAAAGAGGTAAGGTGCCCCAACACACACCCTTCCCCTCTGGATTCGCCTATGGTCTTCCTGTAATGAAAGCTGACTGAGGCAAGAAAGGCGCCCTTTTAATTCTCCTGGTCAGATGACACTGGTTTATTCCGGAATATGTCCAGATGTATCTCCTCTCCATGTAGGGGCGGTGGGGTAGCCCAAAGCGTTCACTCGACATGCTAAAGGCCCGGGTTCGATTCCCCACATGGGTACAGTGTATGCCCCCCTCTGGACAATTGCTAGAAGCGGCGTAAACCCCAACTCACTCACTCACGCACTGTTCTCAGAGTCTATATAAAGTAACTAACACACCCCAGCCCTCCACCGAACCGTAAGAAAAACTATGTTATAGAAATACTGACTGACTGACTGAGTTTGGTTTTACGCCGCTTTTAGCAATATTCCAGCAACATCACGGCGGGGGACACCAGAAATGGGCTTCACACATTGTACCCATGTGGGGATTCGAACCCGGGTCTTCGGCGTGACGAGCCAACGCTTTAACCATTAGGCTACCCCACCGCCCCTATAGAAATACAGCAGTGTTCCAAAGGTCTGAGAATGGTCGCTACAACCAGTGAGTATGTGTGGAAATATGTGTAATACTGCAATACTTCTCTACTGTTTCCAGGGATGCCTGTAGATTACCAACGTGTACAGGTTGGAGAGACAGTGATGTATGTGTGGAAATATGTGTAATACTGCAATACATCTCCACAGTTGCCAGGGATACCTGTAGTTAACAACGTGTAAAGGTTAGAGAGACAGTGATGTATGTGTGGAAATATGTGTAATACTGCAATACATCTCCACTGTTGCCAGGGATTCCTATAAATTACCAAAGTGTACAGGTTGGGGAGACAGTGATGTATGTGTGGAAATATGTGTAATACTGCAGTACATCTCCACTGTTGCCAGGGATGCCTGTAGATTACAAACATGTACAGGTTGGAGAGACAGTGACGTATGTGTGGAAATATTTGTAATACTGCAATACATCTCCACTTTTGCCAGGGATTCCTATAAATGACCAAAGTGTACAGGTTGGGGAGATAGTGATGTATGTTTGGAAATATGTGTAATACTGCAGTACATCTCCACTGTTTCCAGGGATGCCTGTAGATTACCAACCTGTACAGGTTAGAGAGACAGTGATGTATGTGTGGAAATATGTGTAATACTGCAATACATTTCCACTGTTGCCAGGGATGCCTGTAGATTACCAACGTGTACAGGTTGGAGAGACAGTGATGTATGTGTGGAAATATGTGTAATACTGCAATACATCTCCACTGTTTCCAGGGATGCCTGTAGATTACAAACCTGTAAAGGTTAGACAGACAGTGATGTATGTGTGGAAATATGTGTTATACAGCAATACATTTCCACTGTTGCAAGGGATGCCTGTAGATTACCAACGTGTAAAGGTTGGAGAGACAGTGATGTATGTGTGGAAATATGTGTAATACTGCAATACATCTCCACTGTTTCCAGGGATGCCTGTAGATTACCAACCTGTAAAGGTTAGACAGACAGTGATGTATGTGTCTGTGACTTATAAATCCCTGTAAATACTCTTTCCAAACGTTTACGTCGCTGTTTGGAAAGTAATCCAAAAGCTCCAGGTGTGTACTTTTTTTTGTTCGTCAGTTTAGTTGTTGCGTGTCCAAATACCAGGGCTGTGTGGTGGTTAAAGCATTGGCTCGTGTTCTATTCCCCACATGGGTACAATGTGTGAAGCCCATTTCTGGTGTCCCCCCGACGTGATATTGCTGGAATATTGCTAAAAGCGACGTAATCCTATACCCACCCACCCAGTAGGGCTGAGTATCGGGAAATTATATTGCATTGCAATATATTGTGATTCTGGTACCCGTATTCCGATACGTGTTGCGGTATATTGGGAGCTTTAGTGTTTGACTGAGTGACACTGATTGCACATGCAGAGTCTATATTTTAAATAGTAAAGCCCTAAAATACATGTTATGGTTGTGATAACAGGAATTTCGAATTCAGATTTGATTTTGAGGGATTGTATATTTCATTTTTATATAATTTAAAGTAAAGTATTTAAAGTATGCTGTTTTATGAATTAATTACAAAATATTTCGTTTGAAAGGTGTATTGCGACATACGGGCAATACCGTACAGCCCTAAAAGAAATAATGTTGAAGATTTTTTAGCAAATCGTCAGAAGACATTAGCGAAAATGAAAAATGTCCATTGTATTATTGGTTTACGTAAAACAAAATCATTAACATAAAAATCAAAAGGCAATCAGCAAACGTGAAGACTCACCCATGCGCAAACCTGACTATATTCATGTGAGAATTGTGTATATGGACAGAGTGCACGACCTGAGAAGACACAAAGGTAAACTTGGAGTCACGAAACAATAGCAATAGCATCTGCCAGTAAAGCTGAACGGTCGCGTACAGATCCGTTGAATTTTTTATTACAAAGTAGTAAAATGCATTCGACGGATGAGCACTGTGATCTTGAAGACAGTGGTTCAAGGACCAAATTCAATGCCATTAACTCGAACGCCTCAGAGAAATGTAATCGTCAGGCGAATGGAGAAGTCACCAATCAAAATACAGTGGAAGCCTTCACTTTGTATGTCTGTCCTGGAATTGTTGACGATGTTGTCAAATTGACAAATAAGTTTGCTGAAACTAAGCTTGGCACACAGTGGAAGCGGAACTGTTTAAGAAAACATGTAGTCTAATCCAATACAAGCCGACCCCTTAATTAATTATCTTAGACTCTCTCAGTTTGTTAACACGGTCTGAACTTCGACCGATTAGCACAGAACCACTCAAGCATGATTCGACGGATCATGACTGTTCAAATTTCGAGGGATTAGGCCGTAATCAGCTGAACGTATGATAAACACTGTAGACTGCAAGCTTGGCAGTTTTCTGAGTACCTAGCCGAGCAAACAGCTTCAATATGCCTGGACAATGTATAAACGTTACGCCACCATGGGCTTCTGTCTTTGGAGAATTGTCAAAGATGTGTTGCTTATGAAACGTCATCAAGTGCTTATAGTTTCGCTTCAAAACAGCGGTTCGGTTTATAAAGAACAAAAGTGGATCATGAAATATAAAAGCCAAACTTAATGTACCAGAGCAAAAACTAAGTTGGTTTTTCTTGCTACCATACTCTTTCCATGCATATTCCAAAAGTATTGAGCCACTGCAAGCAATGAATAGACGAGTGAATCTTGGACAATTTCAGAAAATGCTACGCAGTGTAAAATCGGAATTTGTCTTTGTTTACATTTCAGACAAGCGCAGTCTTTCAAGCACAGCGTTCGTTTTCACACCCATTATGTTTCGTCTCATTTTATCTAGACAGTTGGTATAGGTGACACAGACCAGTTGCAATTTGATTCTAAAATGTATGGGGAATTCAGTGATGCATTTTTCGAAGCTGCATATGAAATATACGTGATGTAATAGGCGTCTCAATACCGGCCTTTGCGTGATTTTGTAAACACTATCCAATATGGCGGAAAGCGCTCTACGGTGTTCGTGAAAGTGCATTTTCGAAAACATCCCAACCGATTCTAGATTCATTGGCAACGTTTGAAAATTATAATTAGCGATTTCATGTAAAACCGATATCAGTGATCATGAATATGTTATTTTTGAAATTCAATACTCCCAGTATTTATCCGATTTTCACATTTCAAAACATACAGCAAATAACGCTGTGAATCGCGATTTCGTACTGTGTCAAAAATGTCGTCATTTTCGATGAAGCCTATTTTGAAAGGTCATTTTCAGCACTTGAGCTTTATCTAAAATAATAGAGGATGGTATCAAGAAACAGGAAATTTCCCGCAGAATTCGAAACTGTAGAGTGTATTTGTGTGCGTGGGATATTTTGATTTTGATTGGACTTGAATTTGAGGGTTGAAGGGGAAGGACATATATATGTCCCTGTGGCATCAAGGGGGTTAACACCGCTCTCAGCAATATTTCAGCTGTATGGCGGCGGTCTGTAAATATTCGAGTCTGGACCAGAGAATCCAGTGATCAACAACATGAGCATCGATCTACGCAATGTTGAATTGGGATACGATGTTGCGTTGCTACATATCGTTGTTCATTCAGACAAATCCTTGTCTAGTTCAGGTTCGATTGTCTCCTGTGGGTTAGCTGTTTGGGGCGTGAAAGGAAACTCACGCGTTGCTGTTTTGGTTTTTTGTCAGACGAGAACGAGTATGACACGGGATCCAACAACTGTGACCCAAATGCAGACTGCACCAACATTGTCGGGTCGTACTCGTGTGCGTGTAAACCTGGCTTTAATGGCGACGGAAGAACATGCGCAGGTACGTTGTGGTACTTTTGTAATGGGGAACGTGGGGTAGCCTAGAGGTTAAAGCGTTCGCTCGTCACGCCGAAGGCCCTGGTTCGATTCCCTACATGGGTACAATGTATGAAGCCCATTTCTGGTGTCCGCCGCTGTGATATTGCTGGAATATTGCTAAAAGCGGCGTAAAACCATACTCACTCATTCACTGCTATTGTAAGAATACTACATAATAGTCGTAAAACATACTCACTCATTCACTGCTATTGTAAGAATACTACATAATGGTCGTAAACCATACTCACTCATTCACTGCTATTGTAAGAATGCTACATAATGGTCCTAAAACCGTACTCACTCATTCACTGTTATTGTAAGAATACTACATAATGGTCGTAAACCATACTCACTCATTCACTGTTATTGTAAGAATGCTACATAATGGTCGTAAAACCGTACTCACTCATTCACTGTTATTGTAAGAATACTACATAATGGTCGTAAAACCATACTCACTCATTCACTGTTATTGTAAGAATACTACATAATGGTCGTAAACCATACTCACTCATTCACTGTTATTGTAAGAATGCTACATAATGGTCGTAAACCATACTCACTCATTCACTGTTATTGTAAGAATACTACATAATGGTCGTAAAACCATACTCACTCATTCACTGCTATTGTTACATTACTACTCATTCACTACATAATGGTCCTAAAACCGTACTCACTCATTCACTGCTATTGTAAGAATACTACATAATGGTCGTAAAACCATACTCACTCATTCACTGCTATTGTAAGAATACTACATAATAGTCGTAAAACATACTCACTCACTACTGCTATTGTAAGAATACTACATAATGGTCGTAAACCATACTCACTCATTCACTGCTATTGTAAGAATGCTACATAATGGTCCTAAAACCGTACTCACTCATTCACTGTTATTGTAAGAATACTACATAATGGTCGTAAAACCATACTCACTCATTCACTGCTATTGTAAGAATACTACATAATAGTCGTAAAACATACTCACTCATTCACTGCTATTGTAAGAATGCTACATAATGGTCGTAAAACCGTACTCACTCATTCACTGTTATTGTAAGAATACTACATAATGGTCGTAAACCATACTCACTCATTCACTGCTATTGTAAGAATACTACATAATGGTCGTAAAACCATACTCACTCATTCACTGTTATTGTAAGAATACTACATAATGGTCGTAAACCATACTCACTCATTCACTGTTATTGTAAGAATGCTACATAATGGTCCTAAAACCGTACTCACTCATTCACTGCTATTGTAAGAATACTACATAATGGTCGTAAAACCATACTCACTCATTCACTGCTATTGTAAGAATACTACATAATAGTCGTAAAACATACTCACTCATTCACTGCTATTGTAAGAATACTACATAATGGTCGTAAACCATACTCACTCATTCACTGCTATTGTAAGAATGCTACATAATGGTCCTAAAACCGTACTCACTCATTCACTGTTATTGTAAGAATGCTACATAATGGTCGTAAAACATACTCACTCATTCACTGCTATTGTAAGAATACTACATAATGGTCGTAAAACCATACTCACTCATTCACTGCTATTGTAAGAATACTACATAATGGTCGTATGATGCTAGGATTGAATGTTTTGTAATGCACTTGACGGTTACCACGTGAAATATTCACCTTAATCATGGTACAAATGATGTTTATTGTTAATTTTAGTTGTTATCTCGTATCCCTACCTTTTGTTAAGATTCACATAACGGCATTGATCGTTGCTCACAAAATTGATCACTGGATTGTCTGGTGTAGACTCAATTATTTGCAAGCCACCTTCATATATTTGCTTCTGTGTTGGACAGATAACACGCAGATAACACGATGGGTTTGTTCAAAGTAATAAAGTCTGAAACTACTGACATTTCTATTCTACTGTTTACTGATAGTATTGTTTTGTCCATGGGCTCTGGAAAACATCTACGCAAACTGATAATTCAGTAAGTTCATTGTTTTTAAATGGAAGCTAAAAACGGTTAAATCTGTTTTGTTGAGTAAAGGCAAATGAACTTGCAAACAAAAAGAAATAAATATATTTTTGACCATTCTTTGATATTTCTTTTTGAGTTGGGGCGTTGTAAATCAGAAGAAGCCACGTGTTTCATATGTATTTATGACGACCTGGTGATCGATCCCGACCTTCTGGTATGCGAGCTGATGCTCTATCCTCTACGCCAGGAAAGCAGTGTGTTGTCCTACGGGTTGAGCTAATTGATTTGCCAGGCAGGCTGACTTTGTGTCATTGCGTGGGAAACTGTTCATGAAATCGATGGACAATTTACCTGGTCTTGACGCCATTATTTACAGACGGGTGTCATTTTGTTCCATTACTGCTGAGTGAAGTTTTTAAAGAAGAACAAACAAATATTCTGCTGAGCAAACTAAACAATAAACTTTACGATCGGATTTGATAAAAAATACTACAAACGTCAGCAAAAACATGATTAAAACAGTTGTCGAGTTTAGCAAATACATTTCCATCGAGTAACCATAATTTGTGTGCTTCGTTTAGTGACAATCATAAAACATGAGCGTTTATTAGGTTGGATACATCTAACAATTAGTGTTGAAAATACGGATTGGTTTTTACCATACTTTTAATGAAAGAGTTGCATGGTACATCGACGATGCTCGGTATCCATTCAGACTAATCCTGGCCTGTAATGAAGAAAGTGTATATACTTTGTCTTAAAGATATGGACTGGTCATCCTGTCTGGATATATGGAAATAACATCGATGCTCATATGGTCTGTATAGTACTGGACAAAGAGCATATAGTTTGTCTTTAAAATATAGATTGGTGGGCATCATGTATAGGAATGGCTGTGTGGGACGCTACATCGATATTTCATTCAGTCAAATCCTGGTCTGGGTCTGACTAAATAATTTACATTAGTAATTGCGTCATAAAACAACATAAATGTGATGCTTTCTTTCAGACGAGAACGAGTGTGATACGGGATCCAACAACTGTGACCCAAATGCAGACTGCACCAACATTGTCGGGTCGTACTCGTGTGCGTGTAAACCTGGCTTTAATGGCGACGGAAAGACATGCGCGGGTACGTTGTGGTACTGGTGTGAGTTTACCAAATAATATTGTAAGATATTATCATTATATATTTTGAATTTCCTTAACGCTTACCACTTCATACACGAACCGTCATTGTGAGGAATATTTGAATTCAGAGACAATTTCATGTTAATATTCGTGTGAGTACACGTGGATAATGCCTAGTGAATGAGTGGGCTGGCTTAGCGTCGGTTTGAACTTTCAGGGTTTTATTTCAGCGTGTTAAAAAATAGTTTCGACTCAGTCAGTCAACACTCTTGAAGTTGATGCAAACTATATAAGGATCAAGCACATGTATATACAATCTCACACTGCATTAAAACCAGTGTGAAGATAATTATTGTCACCATGGATATCAAGCCTTTGCCTCAGTTGCAACCTTTCAAAGGTTGCTTCTTGGTGAATCATATTATCACTGGCTTCATTGCTATTTACACTCGTATTATATTGAATTTCTACACAGACATTAAAATTTATATTTCTACTTTGCTGTGTACTGATGCTCTTATTATTTTTCAGTAATTTCTATTTGCTAGGAAAACCCTTGTAAAATTTTAATATATATCTTACCTGTGTAACATTTCTTTGTGGGTTTCACTCTGACCTTTTAGCGCGCACGTATGTCTCGGTTACCTATCAGTTTCAATTTAGCAACATGGAAATATATATTGTCACCATACTGTCAGCTAATCGGAGTTTTGTCAATATTATTTGAAAAGAAGCACCACCATTGGCATACACATATGGAGCATCGTTTAAATTGCTCGTGTCACAACAGTTCCTTTGTCCCTTGACCCATGAAGATCCGGGTTAGAATTGCTCTTCAGTAACCCATGCTTGTCGTAAGAGGCGACTAACGGGATTGGGTGGTCACGCCACTGACTTTGTTGACACACATCGTATCCCGATTGCGTAGACCGATGCTCATGCTGTTGATCACTGGATTGTCTGTTCCAGACTCGATTATTTACAGACCGCCGCCATACAGTTGGAATATTTCTTAGTGCGGCGTAAAACAACAATCAATCAATATTTTGTCTCTTTGTATCAGACATGAGCCTATTAACAACCAATGAAGAAGAATGCTCATTAATGTTGAAGAAAAGATTTCACGTTACCACAACGTTATTCTGTAGAAACCCATTTACGTTTTCAGAACGTTGTGACGTGACGTTGTGATAAATCACAATGTTAAAGATATTCAGGCTCGAGTGTCGTAAACATAGTATGATATGGGCACGAATATAATATTCTGTTTATAACCGAAGTCGTCAGATTGAAGAAAATAAACCCATCTCTACTTTCAAACATATCCGCCGTCGCCGCATGTAGAACACAACGTCACAGAAGAAATAGCATTGTTCATGACGTCACGTCACCATGACAAAGTGATATTTTTCCCTAGGGCATCGTATGAAAAATATGAACCCCGATATTTTCGCCCTCGTAGGTAATAACATTGTATATTGTGTTGGCAGTAGCGAGTATAATATTAGTAAATTTAGTATAGTGCGTTGGCAACATTGTATATTGTGCAGGTAACATCATATATTAGTAAATGACGTCATATGTTGTGTTGGTAATATCGTGTCATGTGTTGGTAACATCGCGTATTGTGTTGGTGAGTTTGTACGTCTTTGTGTTGGCATTTGCTAGCGGGTAAACAACAGTGTTTTAATATTGAAAACTGTGTCAAATGTGCTAGTAAATATATGTAAATATATATGTAACCATGTGTGCCTGAGGGTACTACTGCTAAAATCACGTGTTGGGAACACAAAACGCGAGGTTTGAAAATTCTCGTTAAAAAACCATGATCATATTCAATCAGTGCAAAACGTTAAAATGTCAATTCAGTGTGTTGAAGGCCCAGGTTTGTATTGGCTGTATTTAAAGTATCGACTGTATGGAATGTATTGACTGTATGGAATGTATTGACTGCTTTGACTGTAGGGAATATATTGACTGTATTGACTGTATGGAATATATTGACTGTATTGACTGTATGGAATGTATTGCCTGCACTGACTGTATGGGATGTATTGACTGTATGGAATATATTGACGGTATTGACTGTATGGAATATATTGACTGTATTGACTGTATTGACTGTATGTAATGTGTTGACTGCAATGACTGTATGGAATGTATTGACTTTATGGAATATTGACTGTATTTACTGTATGGAATATATTGACTGTATTAACTGTATGTAATGTGTTGACTGCAATGACTGTATGGAATGTATTGACTGCAATGACTGTATGGAATATATTGACTGTATTGACTGTATGGAATGTGTTGACTGCAATGACTGTATGGAATGTATTGACTGCAATGACTGTATGGAATATATTGACGGTATTGACTGTATGGAATATATTGACTGTATTAACTGTATGTAATGTGTTGACTGCAATGACTGTATGGAATGTATTGACTGTATGTAATGCATTGACTGTATTGACTGTATGTAATGTATTGACTGCAATGACTGTATGGAATATATTGACGGTATTGACTGTATGGAATATATTGACTGTATTAACTGTATGTAATGTGTTGTCTGCAATGACTGTATGGAATGTATTGACTTTATGGAATATTGACTGTATTTACTGTATGGAATATATTGACTGTATGTAATGTGTTGACTGCAATGACTGTATGGAATATATTGACTGTATTGAATATATTGACTGTATTGAATGCATTGACTGTACTGACTGTATTAACTGTATGGAATAAATTGACTATATTGAATGTATTGACTATATGGAATGTCTTGACTTTATTGACTGTATTGAATGCATTGACTGTATTGAATGTATTGACTGTATTGACTGTATTGACTGTATGGAATGTGTTGACTGTATGGAATATATTGACTATATTGACTGTATTGACTGTATGGAATGTCTTGACTGTATTGACTGTATTGAATGCATTGACTGTATTGAATGTATTGAATGTATTGACTGTATTGACTGTATTGACTGTATTGACTGTATGGAATGTGTTGACTGTATGGAATATATTGGCTGTATTGACCTATTGACTCTATGGAATGTCTTGACTGTATTGACTGTACTAACTATATTGACTGTGCCGGTCCTGTTGCCTGTCGTGGCTTAAAACACATCTACTACAGTGGCTGTATTGCCTGTATTTCAGACAATAACGAGTGTAGTACCCCCGGCGTCTGTCACGTCAACGCCGACTGCACCAACAGTCAAGGGTCCTACACATGCCGCTGTAACGACATGTACGAAGGAGACGGTGTGAACTGCAACCCGAAAGCAATCAAAGGTAAGGGTTTGATTTCAATGTATCAAAGGAAAGCATCCTGGTCTTTGTATGTCAAAGGATCTGTTCTGACTTCCAAACTGTCTTTTGAACTTTGAATGGAATTTGAAAGAGAAACATATGAAACTGTGTGTGTGTGTGTGTGTGGGGGGTAGTTTGGGGAAAAAGACAGGATATATTGATGTGAACCTTCCTATTTTGAGTTAAAAGTGTTAACTCCGTGTTTTTGGACAGCTGACGGAAGAATCCATTCTTACTGGACAGAGGTCTGCGGCGGAGCCTGGTGGTACATGCAATCGACTTGCCCACTAGCACACCTTTATTCGATGTTTCTTTTCTCTTTTTTTCTCTTTCATTACCTCGAAATTCAGAGTACTCTTTCGTCATTTAACAATTGTGATTCTGATTAAAAAAAAATATGCTACTGACTTGGCACCAGTAAGTTTCCGTAGTTATCGACTGTCAGTCTAGTCAAGTATGAGTTGTGTACGTTTCGTGCTTTTGTAAATTTGTTTTGCGGCAGCTGACAAAAAAATTAATTGGAAATCTACAAGGTTCCAGCATAAGTGCAAAATGCTTCTGATGTCTGAAATGACTTCATGTGCAGACAGCTGTATCGATCAGAGCCTGGGGGCTAAGTTCCACACCAGTAGGCATTTAACAATACAACAATGGATTAACTTGCTTTGATCGGCTTTGCTTGATCTCTTGTATGCCCTCTTATCGGGTGTCATTCTTTTTTGGTGTGTAGGAAAGCATATTGTATTTTGTTAGTCTGAGCAGTATGTTGAGAGGCCTGTTCGTTTAACATAAAGAAATCCAAACACGATGCAATTTATCAGATAAAAGTGGATGGCAACGAACATGACACTTAGGTGTAACGCGTCTCTGATCATGAAGTTAAACGTCCTTCTATCTCATGGAATGGGATTCCAGTAAGGTCTCAAGGGAAAAATATTTGGGTATGGTCTTGAGATCCCCTGTGGTTGAAAGAGCAAGGGCATATTAAAGGTGAATCTGCATTTTTAAATCATACATCCAGCGGATCCTGCCCTGGCAAAGGGACATAAAATCAAGAAGCATTGTTTGTGTTTGTTGTTTAACGCTGCGGTGATCAATATTCCAGCTTGATGACGGCGTCTGTAAGTAATCAGGTCAGACAATCCAGTGATTGCCACCGTGATCATGGATCTATGCAATCGGGATTCGATGACATTCATCAATCCATTCAGCGACCTCACCACCAACATGGTCGTCAATGTAATCACATTGCAAAATAACTATTCATGGTCATGGTGCGTGCTCAACTCATATTGCTTTTGTGTTTTCGTCTGCAAGCATCTACTTTATTGAAAGCGACACCCGATTCCATCAATTATGAACTTGAAATACTGAGAAGGCCGTTTCGCTGTAAGGAGCTTCAGTTGCAGTGTTACAAAAAACGTCGAATATTCGTTGCCTTGACGACGGATATATTATTGCTTCCAGTCGTACGCTGTTGAAGCGGTTACGTACAGTATTTTCAAAGAGCTATTGAACAAAAAACAAGGGTTTTACATGTTATAACTTATATTCATGTATTTTAGGCTCTCCACCCACCATCTACTCACCGATCCGTTTACGACATCCCATTTTGTTCCAGGACAAATATGTACACAGACTTCAGACTGTATCCGAGACAACTTCATCTGCTCCTCCGGCATGTGCGACTGTGACGTTGGCTACAGCTACGACAGCACTTCCGGCACCTGCGTCACCAGTAACATCATTACTCATTGTGTTGTCTATAACCAAATGCTACGGAAACTAATACAATAGAAACCGTATGTTTTGAGATATGACGTATCAAATGCAAAGCTGGTATTAGTAATAGAGGTTATTTTGCGACATGAGCCTATTAACCTCTATATAATATAATGTTACCCTTCAAATATAGCATGTTTAAGACGCGCATTTTCTACCACAAAAGGGTGGTGGGTTAGCCTAGTGGTTAAAGCCTTCGCTCGTCACGCCGAAGACCTGGTTTCGTTTCCCCACATGGTTACAGTGTGTGAGGCCCGTTCCTGGTGTCCCGCGCCGAGATATTGCTGGAATATTGCTAAAAGAGGCGTGAAACTAAACTCACCACTCACTCTCTCAACGAAGTAACGCGTATAAATGCAACATCTGTTTGAGTCATCCCTCATCATGGAGTGCACGCTATATCTGAAAGTGGCATGTGGATGGAAACATCCACACATCAGGAAACATCCGATTCTTTGGAGTGAGTGAGTGAGTTCAGTTTTACGTCTCCCTCAGCAATATTCCAGCTAGGTGGCGGCGGTCTGTAAAGAATCGAATCTGGACCAGACAATCAAGTGATCAACAGCATGAGCATCGATCTACACAACTGGCATACGATGACATGTGTCAACCAAGTGTCAAACGGATCACTAATATTAATTCGTTAAAATTGTAGTACGCTGTAAGCATTTCGACTTACGTATTCAGGAAGTGTTCTGTGTAAAACAATATAGTTTGTTATATCCTCTAATTCGCTGTAGACCGCCTCCGTGGTGTAGTGGTTAGAGCGCCCGCCCGGAGAGCGGAAGGTCACGGGTTCGATCCCCGACCGCGTCATACCAAAAGACGTTAAAATATGGTACTTGTTGGTCCCTGCCTGGCGCTCGGCATTAATGGGTACAACAAGGACTGGTCGGCTCGGAGTCAGTATAATGTGTCTGAGTGGGGTATTCATGCTTCACTGCGGCGTGGTATCTCAGTGGGCTAGCAATATAAAACCAGCTTAAGTCTGGGCTAGTACAAGCAACCGCACATACACATACACACGCATGCACGTCGTCATATGAGCGAAATATTCTCAAGCACGACGTTAAACCCAATTTCACCTCACCTCACTCTAATGCGTTGTAAGTGTGTTCGTTATGAACGAAGTTTATTACAATGCTTCCCGTCAAAAGTTTAGACTCACGAGTGTAAATATAGCCACGTACTTCAGGCAACTGTTCTAAACTAAATTTTGCAAAAAATAGCGTATTGTTTAAAGGTACTGTTTGCACATGAACTGATGTATTGTAAAACAAATTCGTAAAGTTGAAAAGATTATTGTCATGAGTTCAATAAATGATAAAAATCAGTGAAAAATGGCGAATTCTTAACAAAACATTACACGAAAAAGCAGCTGTTCACATGCACGATATTTGCACATGCTTTTCAGCAAGTTGATGCATGATCCTCGTGCAATTCATCTGCATAGGGTTTGCAGTTGGTTCCCCAAAGTTAGTGGAGAAATCAATCTTCGATGTAACCATATATATGTACATAACATATAGTGAGTGTTTTAAGAGTGAGTCTAAACTTTAGATGGGAAGTATATATATAAACATTTATAGAGCGCTAGAATCCAGCAGAAGCTGCTCAAAAGCGCATCAGTTCCAGAAAAAAACACCTCAGGCAACAGTTACAGATTGACTGCTTCTCTGTATAAGTGAGTCTTTATAGTCTGTTTGCAGTGAAGACGTACCGATGAACTTCACTTTAAACAAAAAAGTAAATCAAATGAAGTGAAATAAAGATTGTGAATCCTCATAATTTTACCTTGCCAATTAAACAAATAAATTTCAGAAATTTGTTCAACTTAGGATAAAATTTGTTTAACAGACGATCATAGATTCAAATCGCTATTATTGGTTTGTATTACAATGGAGTAAACGCAGTAATTGGAACAGTGATACAATGGCAAGGTTAAATCATGAGGATTCGTACTTCTAATTTCACTTTATTTGATTTACGTTTTTGTTTAAAGTGAAATTCATCGGTACGTTTTCACTGCAAACAGACTATAGCTGGGCTTTGAAAGTGGAAAGCTGTTGTTCTGATCTTAGGTGATGAGGTATTCTGCTCCAGAGACCTGGACCTGCTTCACCAAAAGATCTATCTCCAAACATTGCATATCGCGGCGTGTCAGTTTTATGTAGGCGTAACCTACACGTTTACTTCCTTTATTGAAACCTTGGGCGTCAGTCGCAAATATGATGAAGTTGAAATATTGCTAAAGGTATCGTAAAACTAAACTCACTCACTGAAGTTTTGTTTTCAGCATGCAGCAACTACGGTACCAACTTCAGCCACCAATCAACCACCTACTGCATTTCTGGCTACAACAACGCCGTTAAGAGCGTCAACACCTACAGCGCTTGCAGAGACTACTGCTTGAAGGCCTCGTCCTTCATCTGCAAGACCTTCGAGCTCTGGAGCGACACGTGCTACCTTTCAGCAGTTAGTAAAACTGAAGTTCCAGCCTCCAAATGGTCAGCGTGGACGGGATGCAAATACTATCAGCGTCACTGTGCTTAGTGACGTGGAAAGGACGCCGGTACTTTCAGCGTCACTATGCTTAGTGACGTGGAAAGGACGCAAATACTTTCAGCGTCACTGTGCTTAGTGACGTGGAAAGGATGCAAATACTTTCAGCTTAGTGACTTCAGCTTAGTGACTGTGCTTAGTGACGTGGAAAGGACGCAAGAACTTTCAGCGTCACAGGTCTTAGTGACGTAGAAAGAACGCAAATACTTTCAGCGTCACTGTGCTTAGTGACGTAGAAAGGACGCAAATACTTTCAGCGTCACTGTGCTTAGTGACGTGGAAAGGACGCAAATACTTTCAGCGTCACTGTGCTTAGTGACGTAGAAAGGACTCAAATACCTTCAGCGTCAGTATGCTTAGTGACGTAGAAAGGACGCACATACTTTCAGCGTCACTGTGCTTAGCGACGTAGAAAGGACGCAAATACCTTCAGCGTGACTGTGCTAAGTGACGTAGAAAGGACGCACATACTTTCAGCGTCACTGTGCTAGTGACGTGGAAAAGGTGTAAATTCTTTCAGCGTCATTATGCTTAGTGTGTCCAAAATCACACACAACCTCTGACGTACTTTTTTCATGCTTGTTTCATTTTTTGTTCATTCATAATGGATATAAAGTTTTTCACGGGACATCAGAGTCAAGTATTCTGACAAGTTGCTTAATGATCAATGAATCGTCAATGAATAATCAATGAATCGTCCGTTCGTATACACATTAAATCTTGAGGTACACAGTGGTACATGGAATTCGGATTCTACAAGGGGTATATATATTATCATGAGTACAATTAATTAGAAATTAGAAATCAGCATAATTAACATTATTATGCCTTCATGTCTCTACAGCTGGTCTAAAGATATTAAATGTAAAGCGATCCAAGACATATTCCATATTTACAGCAGATATATGTCCACATTTAACATTGTTTTCACCATACAACTCACACACTGAACACATTTGGACTGTATAACACCCATCTTCAGAACGACAATCATACAATATTTGCTTGAACATCGATATGAAGACATTTACTTCTAAATATCTTGGGAGAGCAATGCATCAATGCAATGACAGTTATAATGACATGCAAGCCTTCTGGCTAGTGGTGTAAGCTAGTCTGTGCCATGGTCCAGAAAAGTGTATGCGTAAACCCAAAGCCTAAATACCTGTAAACAGAAAACATCTATTCTTTCCTCTTGATGTACCACCTTTCACAATGACGAAGGTGTCCACGGTTACAGAATACCATTATTGCTGTTTAATTGAAGTTAATAGTCATACCAGTACTGACAAAAGTGGTCAAGCATAATAATTATAAGTTAACTGCACTGATGCATCAGATACTCCTGAAACATCTGTAAGGATGCAAAGTATAGAACTGCAACACTAGGAAATTCACTTGAAATAAGTATACCTTTTCCACAATCTCTATAGAACGTTTTAAGTAATTGGATTATGAAAAGGAGAAATATAAAGGAGGCTTAATATGGAACCCTGACGTGTGCCTGTATTACACCTGTAATACTCCTTCAATTCAATCTCCGTCCGGAATCAAGTTGACAGATTGGAATCATTGAAACAACAAAGTTAAACAGCTTACCTCTAATAACCATATTAACTAGATTCTAGAACGAAACTTCACGATTTACACTGTCAAATGCTTTTGGAAATCAACGAATATACAACAAATCCTTCCATTTGTTTTGAATAAATATTTCTGTAACAAACCTTTGAGGATAAAAAAAAAATATGGTCTATAATAGAATAGTAGCTAACTTGAGTTTCCGGATAAAATTTAGTTTTGATTGCACCAATTTTGTAGCCTTTTCTTCAGATCAGGACGTGGTACCTTACACAAAGAGTCTGTAAGGGATACTCTTTATAGTATCAGGATCATGTATATTGCCAGTCTTGTGAAGTGGACATGTTATTCTGTTTCCTCACGGCTTTGGCAATGTTCCTCTTCAAAGTAAGAGAATTCGTACTTGGGATGCAAGCGTGTCCACATACATGACGTGTTTTTCAATGTTTCATCCATCTATCGGTTTGTTCGATATGTTATCTGACACGGTGATCTAAATGTGCCGGAATATCGATCTATTGATCTATCGAAAATGTATTCTACTGTTTCTGCTAGTCCTTCGGATATATCGATCTATTGATCTATCGAAAATGTAGTCTGCTGTTTCGAGTCCTTGGGATATATCGATCTATTGATCTGTCGAAAATGTAGTCTACACTGTTTCTGTCAGTCCTTCGATATATCGATCTATCGCATATGTCGATGTTTTGTATTTGTCAATTTATTAGATAAATCGATTTGTCGGATCTGTTGAGCTGTCGAGAAATAAAAGCATATTTGTATCTGTCGATGTGTACAAACAATTCTCAAATTAATTCCTCAGATTAAGTTTATCCCATTGCCAAAATACACATTCTTACGTAAGTACGTTTGTGCAATATTGAGATGAGACATTAATTGATGAAACACCTTTATTCAAGGTCCCTTTCGGTTTTGATGAACAAAATGTATAACATACGTACTAAACGCATATAACACGGAAGTAATTCGAATTGTTTCTGTTTATTGGGCTTGATAAATTGTTTTCACCAAATGGCATTTTACGATCTGTTGTGATTTACATACGCTGGTAAAATGTTATATATTCAAGATTTTAACACTCAAACTGGAATTACTATAATCATTTTCTCCGTCGCATGTGTAATCAGGATCGTAACGATGCATTAATTTCAAATAGCCACAATGAAAGATCAGTAGCCCTGAAATATGTTGTTATTTCCTTGAATGAACTATTTTCAGGATTTTTTGTAGATTCATTTGACATTATGTGTCTCAAATATGTTGTATAACCATCAAATTGAATGTGTCTTATGTATAGCATACATCACAAATGCTTATATCTCAAGTATTTTGATATATCCCACATATATTGATATCCCTCATATATCTGATATCTCACATCTTTTGATATCACACATATATTGATATCTCTCCAATATTGCTATATATCACATATATTGCATCCCACATGCATTGGCTATTTCACATATATTGATATCTTACATTCATGTATGATGTATGTACACGTTAGTATGTGTTGGATGTATTGTATTGTATCTTTACATATATTGATATCTCCTTACATATATTGATATCTCACATATATTGATATCTCACATGTTTGGATATCGCTATATTGTATATCTCACATATATTGGATATCTCATATATATTGATATCTCATATATATTGGATATCTCACATATATTGATATCTCACATATTGGATATCCCACATGTATTGTTTATCCTCACATATATTGATATCTCACATTTATTGATATCTCATATATATTGATATCCCATCTCTCACATATATTGATATCTGACATATATGTATATCCCACATATATTGTATATCTCACATATATTTGATATCTTACATAATTATATTGACATCTCTTGTACATCTCGTACATTTCATTTCATATACTTTGGATAGCCCAGATATATTGGAGATCTCTACATATACATGTATTCTATTATCAGAATAAGCTGTAAAATCATTATGTATCATATATTGATATTCACATATAATGATAAGTGCACAAATTGATATCGTACATAAAGTTTTATTAATATATATCATCATCTATTTGTTTACATTCATGTCAACGTATCGGTAATGTTAGTTACGCCTGTGTATATATGTTGTGTATGCACTAGCAGTCAGCGGCCCAGCCCTTCTTACAGACCGGAGACCATCTCCATAACACACTGCATTTTCAGTCTCCTCCACTTCACCATTAGTAGCTTCTGCATGCACAGCCTGTTTGATAAAATGGGTTATTTTATAGAAGTCCTATGTATTATTCCCTCTCTAGTTACACGGTGGATTGTACACAGATATGCATTGACACTCGCGCACGCACGCACACAGGCACACATCCACACGGGCACGCACGCGCCCACACACTCACCGCCCACCCCACACACACTCACTCACCCACCCAATCACCTCACCCACGCCCCCATACACCCACTCACTCACTCAATACCGACACACTTCCACTCACTCACTCACTCACTCACTCCACTCCACTCACTCACCCACACACACTCCTTCACACTCACCCACTCACTCACCCACGCACCCACTCACTCACCACTCACCCAATCACTCACCCACACACCCCATACACTCACTCACTCACCACTCAATACCCACACACTCACTCACCACTCACTCACTCACTCCACTCACTCACTTACTCACTCACCCACACACTCACTCACCCACGCACCCACACACTCACTCACTCACCCACGCACCCACACACTCACTCAATCACCCACCCACCCACCCACCCACTCACTCACTCACTCACTCACTCACCAACCCACCCACCCACCCACCCACCCACACACTCACTCACTCACTCACTCACTCACCCACTCACTGTAGTGCCCACTACATCACTTTTACTAAATGCATTACAGAGGCAAATGACGTAAGTCGTTGCTCATGCTTTGATCTTTGTATATTTCTGATTTGATCTACGTATATTTCAGTTAAATGCATTCTACATATTATTGCTGTGTTAAGCTAACCCACGAAGACTGTATTGATTGTAATGATATTATTTTTTCTGTAATCACTATCAAGTAAACAATCACCGAGGCTCTGCAGCATATGTCCGCCGATATATGATTTAACACGTGTCACAACTACCAAATCAGGGACAGGTGTAACACAAGGTACTTCACCTCAACCTACATCTAATGTTTCAGATGAAGGCATAGTAATCAAGATACACATATGTA